AGTCCCTCACAGTCTGCTTCTGTCTTGACTATTCTAAACAGTTTGGTATCATCCGCAAACTTTACCACCTCACTGCTTACCCCTTTCTCCAGATCATTTATGAATAAGTTGAAAAGGATTGGTCCCAGGACTGACCCTTGGGGGACACCACTAGTTATCCCTCTCCAATCTGAAAATTTACCATTTATCCTACCCTTTGTTTCCTGTCTTTTAACCAGTTCTCAATCCAAGAAAGGACCTTCCCTCTTATCACATGGCCATGTAATTTACACCAGAGCCTTTGGTGAGGGACCTTGTCAAAGGCTTTCTGAAAATCCAAGTATACTATATCTACTGGATCCCCCTTGTCCGCATGTTTGTTAACCCCTTCGAAGAACTGCTGACATACCACTAGTGGAGGAGGAGATGGCCTAGGGGGGACACTGGCAGCTGGTCACTTCTGGAAGCAGGCACTGCTCCAACCCTGTTCCCAACCCTCCCACCGTGGTTCTGGGAAACCCTTATGCTCTTCTTGATACAGGAGATAAGGAGTCACCCCCTACAATTGAGAAGGAGAAGCCTCGTACCCCCAAGGCTAGGAGGTCTGCTGCCACCACTGCAAGGAGATGGCCTAGGGGGGACACTGGCAGCTGGTCACTTCTGGAAGCAGGCACTGCTCCAACCCTGTTCCCAACCCTCCCACCGTGGTTCTGGGAAACCCTTATGCTCTTCTTGATACAGGAGATAAGGAGTCACCCCCTACAATTGAGAAGGAGAAGCCTCGTACCCCCAAGGCTAGGAGGTCTGCTGCCACCACTGCAAGGAGGAAATGTAGGGTAGTGGTGGCCGGAGACTTTCTTCTGAGGGGTACGGAGGTGCCCATCTGTCTCCCTGACATGTCATCTCGGGAGATATGCTGCCTGCTGGGGGCTCATATCCAAGACGTTACAGAGGCACTGTCGAGTATTATTTGGCCCTCTGACTACTACCCAATGCTACTCATCCATGTGGGCACTAATGATACAGCAAGGTGTGACACTGAGCATATCAAGAGTGACTACAGGGCTCTGGGGGACTGAAGGGCTCTGGGGGTGCAGGTGGTTTTCTCTTCAGTCCTTCCTGTCAAAGGTAGGGACCCAGGCAAAATCAGGTGCATCCTGGAGGTGAATGCCTGGCTGCGAAGACGGTGTTGCCAGGAGGGCTTTGGCTTCTTTGACCATGGGATGCTATTCTTTGACTTGCAGTTATTCAAATCAGAACAGTATTTTTATTTGACAAATCAAAATATGCCTGAGCAAAATTTTAGAAATCTATATTAAGTTTATTTTAATATATATAAATATATAGCACCATATATACAAAGTGTGGCCTCTGAAAATAGATGAAATTTATCAGAAGTCTCTGTCCCTTAGAACTTATAAAGAACATATAGATATATCATGCATGTTCTAGTAACTAATATTCTTACCATGCTTCAAATTGTCCAACCATTCCCCAGTATAGTGATCCCCATTTACAGCATAAATTGTGTGTCTTAATCCACATTTCTGTGCCTTCCTGTCCCATTCATACCAGAAAGGCTCAACAGCCCTAGGATATTTTACAATAGGCATATTGTTCTTAGCTGGAAATGAAAACACAAAGTTGTCAAAAATGCAAATAGACATTATCATGCTGGGTACAAGAAGAGAATACCATCTATAAGATGTATTTTATTATATACACATTTCAGTAGCAACTCTAACATCTGGCTTTTAAAAAGGTAAACTAAAGGCAAAACAAACAAATAAGAAACTTTACAACATACCTTAGCATAAAATAGTAGCAAATGAAAATAAAGGATTATTTATAGTAGAAGCAAGTATTAGGGCTCATTAATAATATAAGTTGAAATAGGACACATTTTCTGAGTACAATATCTTCTTTCTGCATGCAGCAAATCTTCAGCAAGTATTGCAAATGTCATTCTCATGCACATATTTAATTCAAACATGGAATTCTTCTAAATGTCAAAAGAACTGAAGAAAGTAGGTAGAAATCTAATCAGAAGTTTGTGGGCCAAGTCATGGCTCCCATTCCAATCCCTTTAGGCTGCTCTAGTAGGAAGTAGGGGACATAAGTGGGCTGCTCCCGGCTTGGCAAAAGTTTTTATGGCAGGAGCAGCCTGTGTCCCTGCACAGTTTCTCTTACAGTTGACAGTGAAGGCATGGGAGGGGGAATGACACAGCACGGAGCCCTACAGAAGCAAGGCTGACATAAGCCAGAACAATTCCTAAACTGCTCCTGCTTACACAAGTCATACTGTCTCCTGATCCCAGCAACCCATAAGTGGGGGAGGGGCGCACAAAGATCTTCTGGGATGTGCCTATCATTCAGGACACAGAATAATGACACAATCTGTGAAGTGTATGAATTGGTCCCATCACCATAGTGAGGAAGAAAAGGGTACTACTCTCTTCCAAACTGCCTCCATCTCCCCTCTGCAGCCCCTGCAAATTTTCTAGTGAATGTGGAACTCTGAGTAGCTGCCATCAATCTAGCAGGGGATTTATAGGTGGTTCCCATTCCCTTTTCTTGGGCTAAGTAGAATATGGATTGTGGTCTCTTGACTTAAAAAAAAAAAAAGTTTGTGACGCATGTTGAGCAGTGTGGACGGCACCGAGCTAGATGAATATTAGTCAAAATAAGTCATAAGCAAATAGCAGGTTAATTATTTTTTATTGATGCCCCGGCTCCACGTGGCATTTCAAATTGGCAGTGCAGCATGGAGCCCGGGGTGAGAGTCCCCCGCTGACCCCAGGTTCCATGCTCTGCTGCCGATTTGAAATGCACAAGAGCCCCCACTCGGGACTTTTGTGCATTTCAAAGCTGGCACACCCCCTGAGTTCTGCATTCCTCCTTTGAAATGTACAAGAGCCCCAACGGGATTCGGAAGTGCCTATCAAGTAGTTGATGGAAACCACCCTTAATGGAAACCGTGTATTTGGTGCATGTTATTACTACTTCAAGAAAAGGGATGCGGTAGAACCCTGATTTCTAGCACCACTGCCAAAGAGAGCCAATTAAGAGTAAAAGTGAGGAGCTAGTTGTGGGAGAAAAGAAAGTGGTGTTTATGCTGTTTCTTGGGGGGAAAGGGAAAAAGCTAGAAGTTATACCTTTTAAAAATTAAAGTTGTATTAGCTATTTATATTTCTCTTTCACTAATTGGCTATGAAAAAAACAGTGGATTTGGCTGATTTACAAGCCATTTTGGGGGATTTAATTTTTAAAAGCACTTTTGCGTTTGATGTTGATTGTTCCTCACAAAATGACAGCAGACTTTGTTATTTGTGATCATATATTTAATTATTTTTCCTTGCCCTGGGAGGGCTCTCAGCAGTTGGATTAAATTTAAGGTAAAATTAAGTGCATCTGTTGCTAGTGTTGTAATAATGGGAGTCTAGCAAGCCTACTGGGACTGTGCAATCCATTATTGGAAAGTAGGTGAAAGTTCATAAAATGTTGCAGTAACTGATAACAATGAATGTTGATTAAAAAGTCTATGAAAAGGAGACGGAGATGCTGGATTAGACGAAACAGAAGAATATTATAAAAATATTTTAGAGCAAGGAAATAGAAACATAAAACTGATTTTCTACATGGCGTGAGCAAATCTATTATCTACATTGCATAATGTAAATCTCCCACTCGGCCTCATCACGCACAATCTTCTTAACTGCCAATTAATACCCTTCACAATTTAGCTGCTCCTTTGTGATCCATCATATTATTTTAACACTACATTGAACCCCCCACACCGTTGCTCCAAAAATGTCACTCAAATGCCCATTTGCCACTTCACAAAAAAGTATCTCTGTATTTTTGCCCCTTACATATGAGAAAATCTCCTTGTTAAAAATGTTCAGTTATTACATCACCATCCTTCAAACCCCTTCTCAAAGCCATTACCTCTGTGAATCCTGCAGAAAGCCTGCTATCAGACTCTGACTAAGCAAATGGGAAAATTGTGATTGATGCTGCTGATGGGCTCTGTGAACTGTAAATTTAAGTCTGTACTCCCACATGGTGGTATTGTTACCTTGCTTTCCTTCCCTCCGCTTGCTTCTCTCACCCACCTAACATCTTGTTTTTAAACTGTAGGCTCTTTGTTACAGAACCTATCATTTACTATGCATTTGTACACTTGAACCCCAACATGTTCAAGATCTCTAACTGCTACCATAATATAAATAAATAATAATAACAACAAACCATCCCTACCTCAGCCCCTCCATTCCATCAGTGTGAATAAAACATAGTGAAATATACAACCCTGTTGCTCTCTTGGACACTTCAGAGAGCAGGATTCCTGTATATTTCAGTACTCAGCCCACAATCAGCCTTAATGGTGTCCCTTGAACCATATTTACTACAGGAGTAATTATGATCTATGTTGTTATGCAAAGACATAATTGGGTTCCGATGACATCATGGTAACCATGTAAGAGTAGCTAAACTGGGTTGTGATTTCATTAAAAAAAACCAAGTTGTGTGTTTATAGCCTCACTCAGTTTCCCTTTATTGTGAATATTTAAAGTTGTCATAAGATGAATCTAGCTCAGGATGCTCCCCAGTTTCTGCATGGAATATAAGAGCTAAATGGAATCACAACCAAGGCATCATCACAGAAGCATGTTGTCAGCATAAGAGTGCAGTGCTGCAGCAGACACTCTGTGCCCAGGACATGCAAGGGAGCCTTTGCCTGTGAGCTGTGCTGAGGCTTAGAGCAGGGGAGAAGAAGGTGTGGTAACAGCTGGCAGAATGTCAGCTGACTTACATGCCAAAATATATTGAGAAAAACAAAAGGGTTTGAAGTAGGGGCTTTCTACTTCTGAAATCCTAAAATGGCACCTCTGCAGCATTTCAATGTAGACGCTGCCTACACCAATTAAAGTTGCTGGAGTTGCATATCTTAATTTGACTTTCCCCTTTATTGTAGGCCTGGACTGAGCAATGTAGCTGGATCAATCTAATTTTTTGACCCAAACTCCTTGGCTACGTCTAGACTGGCATGATTTTCCACAAATGCTTTTAACTGAAAAGTTTTTTCATTAAAAGCATTTGCGGAAAAGAGCGTCTAGATTGGCACGGACACTTTTCCACAAAAGCACTTTTTGCGGAAAAGCGTCCGTGGCAATCTAGACGTGGTTTTGCGCAAGAAATCCCCGATCACCATTTTCGCCATCAGGGCTTTTTTGCACAAAACAATACTGCGTTGTCTACATTGGCCCTCTTGCGCAAAAACATTTGCTCAAGAGGACTTCTGCCCGAACGGGAGCAGCATAATATTTCCGCAAGAACACTGACAATCTTACATGAGATCTTACACTGACAATCCTACATGAGATCCACCGTTGCGGAAAAACTTGCCAATCTAGACGCAGCCCTTCTGTAAAATCTTCATCTGGACTCACTTCACTGAAAGAGCAGCACAGCTGGTTGAATTACAGCTATTTAGTCACTACAATACCGAAGCACCTCACAAATATCAAAGATTTTATCTTCACAATGCTCTTGTGAGATAAAGAAGTGTTTTTGTCCCTATTTTGCAAACGAGAACCAAAGCACAGAGATTAGCCAAGTGCATACTATTCCTTAAGGTGCAGCCAGATTAGATCCTTAACTGCTAAAGACATCCACAGGCAAAACATATCCACTCATTGGAAAAGAAGGAAAATCATGCACACACAGGAAACGCAATAAAAGTCTCTTCCTCACTAAACTCCAAGAACACAAAACTCTAGGATTCCAGCTACTTTCTTCCTTTTCCTCAAAACAAACAGCACAAATACAATAAATACAGCTGCTTACTCTTATACAATTCATAGAATCATAGAATACTAGGACTGGAAGAGACCTCGAGAGGTCGTCGAGGCTAGTCCCCTGCCCTCATGGCAGGACCCAATACCATATAGACTATCCCTGACAGATGTCTATCTAACCTGCTCTTAAATATCTCCAGATATGAAGATTCCACAAACTCCCTAGGCAACTTATTCTGGTGTTTAACCACCCTGACAGTTAGGAACTTTTTCCTAATGTCCAATCTAAACCTCCCTTGCTGCAGTTTAAGTCCATTGCT